TGATATTATGATTTTCAAATACAGGTATCCTTCATACAACACAGTATTCCTACAATATGGTTCAAAAATTGGAAAAATCACCATATAAAATATCACAATTTTTAAATACAAATACCGCCATTCCGTACTTTTTTTCATTCAAGCAAGCATGCATGTTGTCTTATATTTGCCCATGGATTTTAAAATATTGAAATGGAGAGGCAAAAGCATTACAATCTATTCCACTGTCAAATAACACAGTTTCATGGCAAATCAATGACTTGGCCATGGATCTAAAAATGCAGTTAATTCAACAAGTAAAACAAAGTAAAATATTTAAATTGCAACTCAATGAATCAACCGCTATTTCATCACAGGCTCAGCTTATTTGTTACATGAGATATGCCATGGAAGGAAATAATAGAATAGTTAGTGTTTTGTAAAACAATCCCAACAACAGCTTCAGGCAAAGACATATCTGCTTACTTAACAAATTTATTTGTGCTGAAGGCTTGACTTAGATTGACTGTATAGGTTTATGCAACTAATAGTGCTGCAGCTATGGCAGGGAAGAATAGTGGCCTCATAACTCAAAGTGAAAGCCATAGCCTTGGCAGTAAAATGACCTGCTCATGGGACAGACAGGGTTAGAACCAAACATCCATCATTTTGTGCAATTCAAAACAAGCTCAAATTTCACATTGATGTTTACAGTTTGTGTAAACATAGAAAACTTTTTAAAAATTTACTTTATTATAACTTTATTCAGAAGGAATAAATTCTTAGATATACAATATGTGCAGATATTACCTATTTTATTTGTGCAAAGTGCTGTAGGTAGGAATTTGTATTTTTAGTAATGAATTGTATTTTTGCTTTATATTTTCAATCAAACTCTGCTGGTATCATTTAATTTGTAATAAAAATAAATAAATATTGAATACAGAGCAATAAACACTTACACATATGCTAGGGGGAGGCATACTGTAGAAAAGGTTCGGAACTGCTGAGTTATATGACCAGTAGCATAAAGATGATTTGCCTGTTCCTATCCCATCTAAACATTATGTCCTAGAGCTTGATGAAGATACAGAGTGACTACCCAAAACTGCAGTGTCTTAATACAGCAAGATCCTGATTATACATCAGAATCAACTTCATCCAGTATACTAATATAAAATTTCTTTAAATGAACTGAGTGATTACATTTGTAATCTGGAGTTACCAAAAAACAATACTGAACTTCTTATTTCTAGGATTCAACAATGGAATCTTCTGGAGGTAAACAAGAAAGTATTTGTATATAGAAAGTGACAAAAAGACAATTCCATTTTTCTGAATGGATAACAACCTTATTTACTGTATTGATGTAAATGATCTGATGAAATCTTTAAAAATAGAGCATAATTCAAAAAACTGGAGACTTGTAAGGAACCAAGTCCGAACGTTATTTTTATTTACTTTTATTTTGCTTATTATTCTATTTTTGTTTGGGGCTTATGTTTTGTTAGGACAAAGGTTTCCTCACCATTCACCTTAGTAACTTAAAAATAGAAGAAAAACCAACTCACCGACAAAAGAAAAGCGCTGTAGAAAAAACTCGCGCACACTTGCGCTTCCCGAGCGGAAAAAAGTAAGCCCGCACCGAGAAAAGGGGGGGAGACCCCACAAGCACGAATTAGGGACTCGCTAAACCTTAAAGAATAAAAACGTCCCGAAAATTGTGAAAAAGAATAATGTAAAAGGTTAACGAGTAATTGTCGTAAGTAGGCTGCCAGAGAAACGAAAAAAGTTTATTGTTAGCGTTAAGTATGCAAATGAGGAGAGTGATCTCATTCAGAATTGTGACATCACCTCACCAACAATCAATCACGTGACCAT